CCCCCCCAATTTCTTGAAGTCATTCCTTGGTGGTCTGAATTGGATATTTATAGGAGTTGATGAAGCTCATCGTTTAAAAAATGATGATTCCCTTCTGTACAAGACTTTAATAGACTTTAAGTCTAATCATCGTCTTCTTATTACCGGAACCCCTCTGCAAAACTCCCTTAAAGAACTTTGGTCTTTGCTGCACTTCATCATGCCAGAAAAGTAAGGAATGTGATAGGGGGTTTTTTGTTGATGTTGAGTTTGTGGGTTTTTTTTGTTGCTTGGTTTTGGTTGCTTGGTTAGTTGGTTTTTTGGGGTTTTTCTTGTGGTCAAGACTCTTATGGTCAAATATTATAGTGATTGGAGAATCAATAGAGATATAAAGAATTGCATTGTGAGATAGTTTAAATATTTTTTATAAAATAGATGCACATATTTTATATGCTACTCTTGATAAACTGTTTTGGTAGCAGCTGTCACTTTTTCTGTTTTAGCAGTCCAGAAAAAAGATGGATTGATGCATGGCTCAGAACCCTGAAAACATGTTTCATCCTATTTTAAAGAGAAAATCACATGGATTTACTGTAGGGAAATAGAATGGGGCTGAGAATGTCATCTTTTCTGTGTTAGTACCATGAATGAAAACAAGATTATACCACAATGCCCGATATCCAGTAGTTCATTCAAGCACATGGTGTGATTCTTGGGGTGGTCCTGTTCAGGGCCTGGAGTTGGACTTTGATGATCTTTGTGGGTCTCTTCCAACTCAGGATATTCCGTGATTCTATGATTCAGGAAGCCAATTTGCCCTTATGGTTTGCATAGAATAGGTTTACTGTATTGACATTATTCTATACTGACCTCTGTTTATATCTGGAATAAATAAGAGCACATGTTCCTTTCAGATATCTTGTAAATACAAAGCACTGTAACTCCTATTAGTTTCAGAGCTATGCATTACATTGATTTCTTTAGAACCTTACAAACAAAGCCACTAAGTTTGTTGCCTGGCACCTATTCTTCATTTGACCACAAAGTGCATTCTCTTAGTCTGTTAGAACATACCAGAGGATAATCACATTTCAGCTAGTCCATACAAGCTGTAAAAGGTATGTGGTCTGTTCTCTTGCACTTTCTCCAACTATACAACTATTTTTTCATGCTGTTCTTGAGAAATATAATGGAATTCTGCAATGTTCTACCTACGTTCCCATGCAGAAAAGCAAAATGTTGGGTTTTCAGTGGAGAAATTAAAATTCAGTAGCTTGTTTTGAATTTTCATTCTGCAAAAGTTTGTTAATTTCCTATTTGCAGACAAAATTTTTGGAATTTCTTTTGAGATGCAAATTCAGAAACTTATTCAATAAAACAGAGGGGAGTGGTGAAGAAGTCCATATGTTTGTGCATGTCTGGTATATTTATGGTCTTTGTGTGTCTGTGTTCATGGTATGTCATTATTTCACCTTTATTCTTTTTGTGTTGAAGGTTTTCTTCCTGGGAAGTTTTTGAAGAGGAGCACGGCAAAGGGAGAGAGTTTGGTTATGCAAGTCTTCACAAAGAACTTGAACCATTTTTACTCAGAAGAGTTAAAAAAGATGTAGAAAAGTCTTTACCTGCTAAGGTTGAACAAATTTTGAGGATGGAAATGAGTGCATTGCAGAAACAATATTACAAGTAAGTAATGACACTTTTTAATTCCCACTCTTTTAATGGCATATCTATATGAAAATTATTGGTGTAATAGTTCTCATAATGCATTTTTAACTGATATTTTGAGAGCTTACATCCTTCATATTTCCACAAATGGTTATAAATTGTGCACATTCTATATCATAGGTGGATTTTAACCAGGAATTATAAAGCCCTGAGTAAAGGTTCAAAAGGTAGTACCTCAGGCTTTTTGAACATTATGATGGAACTCAAGAAGTGTTGTAACCATTGCTACCTCATTAAACCACCGGATGATAATGAATTCTATAATAGACAGGAGGCCTTACAGGTAATACCTTTTTTTTAAAAAAAAAATTTTTAAGTGATTTTACATCTCTTATATGAATGCAATAATTTTATAGTGTTCTGGCAATTTATTTGTTCTTATTAAATTATGTTAAGAAAGATCAAGTTCTCTATCGAATGTGCATCCTGGGTTTTACAGGTAAGTGAAATGATTACCTTTTTGTTTGTTTCTTAACTGGAACTGAATAATAGAGAGATCAATACTAAATAAAATATCCTTGGCTTGAATTATGATAAAAATAAAAAGTACACCAACAATCCATGTGATAGCAGAAAGTAATCTGCAGAATCTCTTTAAGCTTTTTTGTAATCAAATACTGTTTTCTGCATGCCTTCAAACAACCAATTTGAAAGGAAATAAAAGTAATAAACATCCAAAGCTTTGTCTGGTTGTTTTGTTGTTATAAATGAAAGCAATTATAGCATCACTACTGAAGATGGTCTGGGATTGTGTTGTGGGTTTATAGTTTGAGTTTCTTTGGAAAGGTTAACTAATCTTTGTACTAAAGCTGTTGTGACCCACACCAACAAATAAAAGCACTGTTATAATTTATACAGTTTATAACACCATAAGTGTTTCTAAAGATCAGGGTTTTTTTTCTGTAAACTTTAGGTTCATAATTTAAATACTTTCCTAAAACTACTAAATCACAAGCTGTCACTGCATAAACTGTTTTATATTATAAAATGCTTATCTAAGCTTAAGAATGTTTCATTTGCAATTTCGCACACTCTACTTAAATTTATAATTAATCTCATCAGAACTGTTCAGCCATTATTACTAATAATTGCATACTTGTAGCAATGATTTCCTTGGCTCATCTGAATAATCTTTGTTAGCTCTATTTATGAATGATACATCCTTCTCATTTCTGGCATAAAGAATGAAAGCACCTAACTCCTGGTTTTTTATTCTGAGCCTCTTCAGCTAAAGAAACCTAATGTTTTCAACATTAAATTCAGTATGCACCTTAGTTTCTGTTCTAGTTGTTTCCACTGGAGCTGACAAGGTTGAACATTGTAACCTAGCTAAAGCATGTTGACTTCTACTAACAGAATTCCTCTCACTTTTATCTTGCCAGAAAAACTTGACTGATTAGGCATTGTTTAAAAATACCTAGAGGATCAAATAGCAATGTTTAGGTCTGTTCAAAAGACAGAAAGTGAGGAGCAAGTAGTACTCAGGTAGACTTGTTGTTTATTTTGTAGAATTTGAGTCTACACTGTAACTGCCATAAGTCATAGCACAGTATATTTGCTTAACATTTTACTGAAATGTTAAGATGCTGTTTTATAAGCCAGAGCTGGGAAATGTATTTATTTGAAAAACATGCTAGTCCTGTTGATTTCAGTTAGGGAGTTTAATGCTTTTATAATGAGTTTTTACAAGATCAGGATTGACTAAATTCTTATAAAACTTTCATGTTCAGTTAATGAATGTCTAACCATCTGCAGTGTATGTTAGGGTTGAGGTGAACTTATTTTGTGGTACACGTTTTCTTGTCTTGTAGCATTTAATACGTAGCAGTGGGAAACTAATCCTTCTTGACAAGCTACTAATTCGCCTACGAGAACGTGGCAACAGAGTACTGATTTTCTCTCAGATGGTGAGGATGCTAGACATCCTAGCAGAGTATTTGAAGTATCGTCAGTTTCCCTTTCAGGTAAGACTTTTACTGGTAGTAGCCAAGAAGCCTCGATCTTTACCATTTTATGTTTTTAAAAGTATCCTTTTTGTAGAAAGACTTATGGAAGTTTAATTTTTTTGTACAGTAAAGACTAGCAATTACTATATGCTTAATAGTATTTTGAAATTAAACTGACTAGTTGGAAGTGTTACATTACTTTTATTCCCCTCCCCAATTATTTTGGCAATTGAGAATTCAAGTTGCTCTGAATAGAATATGGTAGGAGTTCTGTTTTAACTGTATTATTAACTGTATTATCACTCTTTAGAGACTTGATGGATCAATAAAAGGGGAATTGAGGAAACAAGCATTGGATCATTTTAATGCAGAAGGCTCAGAGGTATGGTATTAGTGGGTGGCTGTTTTTTTTTTAATCTACTTGGTTTTATTTTTTTTCCCTCAGGAAATATAACAAATATTGCACAAAAACTAAAGTGAGAGATGTATTCTGTTGAAATTCCATTGCTTTTGCAGAGACTATAAGGTTTACAACTCTTAACAAACAAACAAAAAAAAGGCAACCAAAAAAATCCCTCGAAACAAACAAAAAAAAATTTAAAAGCTAAGAGCAGGTTCAACAAGAAACACAGAATTTATGAACATGGTGTTTATAACTAATATAACTACATAGTTATATTTTTAGATTTTTGTCAGTGCTCTTTATAAAAGTAATTTTAAGTGCTGAAAAATTTAATTTTTTTTGTTGTGTAGGACCTAATCCTTCAATTTTTACAGGAGCACTGAACTTTAACACAATCTTTTAACTTCAAAAACCTACTTAGAAAATGGGCAGAATTGTGTATATCCTTGCATAAAGAAAAACTATCTTGAATAGCTTTAAATCTGGCTTCTGTTATCTTCATTTTTTGCCTCTGATTTCCTTGCCCTGGAAGAAACTGATTTCGAGCCACTGTTTGTGTACCACTTAAGCTTCCTAGTTTATTTAGGTTTCCTATTATGGAAGCCATACCATACCTTTAATAATCTTAGATCTTTTGTCCTACACTGACAGGGTTCTTCAGTAATAGAAGCATAGCATTTGTCAGTTGCTGTTGAGCTTATGTTTCTGCTATGGTTGAGGAGGAAGGACTTCATTTCATAACATAAACTTCAGATATTTGTTAAATACATAAGTTAGTTCTGTTTTAAATTTCTAGTACAGACATAATTGCCTTTTTATGGAATCCTTGTAGTTGTACTGTAAAGTTTTTAAGATGAAGGGGGATCCAAATTTCGCATGGCATTCAAGAATGAAGGCAAACTATGAAGTTGTGCAGCAAAAAAATTGTGACCTGCTAAACTGAGCTAAGGTATTCATGGAAATATCTACAACCCCAAAGACTCATTCCTGAGCAATAATGGCTTCTATTACCTTTGACTGTACTTGAAACTCAGATTTATTTCCTATTTCACTTTAGTTTCATGTGCTTTTTTATTGCCTGTCTCATAAGATCCTTCTGTAGTCCCTTGCAGTTGTCCCTGAATAACTCCATATCATCTGCAAACTTTGTCACCTCATTACTCATCTCATCTTCCCATTGTTTACAAATATGTTGAAGAGCATTGACCCAGGCAAAACACTTTAGTTTCCTTTACAAAAAAACAGAGGGACTTGGGCACACATGAGGCTTTAACAACAAGGGGGTTTGTATTTTTAGCCAGTGTTTTGCTTGGTTTTTTTCTCCCCAAGTGGCTTTTTTTCATCTTCCAGGATGTTGCTTCCTTTAAACTATGGAGAAGCCAATAACTTAGCAAGAGAAGTTGATATCACTTTGCTTTTTACTTATACAAGGTCTGGCTGGACTGGAGTTAATTGTCTGCATAGCAGCTCGTATGGTGCTGTGTTTTAGATTTGTGATGAAACAATGCTAACAGTGTTAGCTGTTGTTGAACAGTGTTTACATAGTATCAAGGCCTTCTCTGTTTCTCACTCTGCCCCTCCAGTGAATAGATTGGATGGTGCACAAGAGGTTGGGAGGGGTCATAACCAGGCAGATGACCTGAACTAACTAAAGAGATATTCCATGCCGTATAACATCCTGCTCAGCAATAAAAAAGTAGAGAATGGAGTTTAGGGAGGTTAGCCATCTTTTGCTTGGGAATTGGCTGGGCATCAGTCCTGCCCATGGTAAGGTGGCGAGAGATTGTATTTGCATCACTTGTTCCATTTTCTTTCTCTTTTTCCACTTCTCCTTTACTTACTAAATGACGAACGTTGAGGGTGGATAGGGAGGTGAAACCTCAGGCAAGAGGCTTTTCTTTTTACCCCTTGCTCCGGGGGGAAGCGTGCCCTCCCCCTCCTCCACCAGGGCCCCCAGAGAGATCAGGAGACAAGCAGCTGGCAGGGTGAGCAGGCAGAGAGTTTATTGTTCTGGTAATTGCTTAAATACCTCTTGGGGGGATTACAAAGTGACCACTGGGAGTTCAGGAGATCTTACAAACAACCAATGATAACAAAGGGTTAACAACCAATAGGGAGACTTTCAGGTATCTCTCAGGACATTCCAAAGTACAGTGAAGGATCTTGGGAAGGAGAAAGGTTTACACAAAGAGCCACAACACCATTTTGGAAGCATGTTCACTTTAACAACATTAAAACTTCTACATTCTTTTATATACTGCAACAACTAAACAATTTTTATCTTGACCCCCAAGTTTCCCTGCTATTAGTCTTCCTTTCTCCTTCCTCTGTCCCAATGGGGTTGTGGGCGAGAAGTGATTGTGTGGTTGCATGGTGCTTAGCTGCCTAAAGAAAATACTAGCTGGTCTAAAGAAAACATTGGATACTGATAGACCTTGGGCTGCCTGATCCACTGTCAGAGAATCATGAGTGTGGGAACAGTGACTTTCTATTTGTGGACACTGGAATTGTAAGGGAAGATTATACTGAAAGGCATTTAAAGAGAAATGCAATCATCAGGCACAGTCAACATGGGTTTATAAAGTTTCCTGTCTAACTAATTTAATCTCCTACGATAAGGTCGCCCACCTAATGGATGGAGGGGAGGCAGTAGATGTAGTTTTTCTGGATTTTAGTAAGGACTTTCATAGTGTCCCTCACAGCATCTGGAGAAGTTGTCCAACTATGGGATGAGCAGGTAACAGTGTGTTAGGTGAAGAAGTGACTGAAGGGCAGAGCTCAAAGGGTTGTAGTTTAATGGAGCTACATCTAGCTGGTGACTCTTGAAGGACAAGAGACCTTGCAGAGGGAGGGTTCTGCACCCAGGACATTGTAATGCTAGACACAAATATAAATTGGGAGTGGTTGGAGAGTAGCCCTGCAGAAAGGGATCTGGGGGTCCTGGTTGACAGCAGGCTCAGTATGAGTCAGCAGTGGAACCTGACAGCCAAGAGACCAAACTGCATTCTGGAGTGCAGCAAATGCAGCATATCCAGGCAGTCAAAAGAGGTGATTATCCTGCTGTATTCAGTGTTGATGTGGCTTTACCTGGAGTACTGTGTGCAGTTCTGGGCCCCACAATTTAAGAAGGATGTGAAGTTCCTTGAATGCATCCAGAGGAGGGCAACAAAGCTCGTGAAAGGGTTGGAAGGTATGTCCTGTGAGGAGCGGCTGAGGACTCTGGCTCTGTCTAGTTTGGGGAAAAGGAGGCTGAGGGGTGACCTCATTGCTCTCTGCAGCTTCCTGAGGAGGGGAAGTGGAGAGAGAGGTGCTGAGCTCTTCTCCCTAGTATCCAGTGACAGGACACATGGGAATGATGCATGGGAATGGTTCAAAGCTGTGCCAGGGGAGGTCCAGACTTTACATTAGGAACAATTTTTTTATGGAGAGTGTGGTCAACCCTGAAACAGGCCTCCTAGAGAGGTGGTTGATGCCCCAAGCCTGTCAGTGTTTGAGGCATTTGGACAATGCCCTGAATTACATGCTTTAACTTTTGGTCAGTCCTGAAGGGGTGAGGCCATTGGACTAGACGATTGTTGCAGTTCCCTTCCAACTGAAATAGTTTATTCTATTCTAATAACAATCTACTCGCTCTAACCATGACAAACAACTTTTTGTATTACAAGTCTAATATGTATTTATGATAAAGAAGTATATGAGTTCACAGTCTGCTCCACAGAGCATATAAAGAAGTGTCATATTGGTTCTTTGAGGGATATTATAGGTAATATTTATAAAGCTGTTTATTTTTTTATCATTTCAGGACTTCTGCTTTTTGCTGTCTACCAGAGCTGGAGGATTAGGTATAAACTTGGCATCTGCTGACACTGTAGTTATATTTGATTCTGATTGGAATCCACAGAATGATCTGCAGGCACAGGCTAGAGCTCATAGGATTGGACAGAAGAAACAGGTATGCACACTTGTCTTTTAAGCTTCAAACCTGAAGGAGGGTTTCATTATGTTAGCCATAAGCTGTCTGTTTGGGCCATCGCAGTCCTCATATATTTTGAGAATAGCTAATACTAATAACTAATACTTGCCAAAAATGTCTAAAAATGTTAATATTCCTGTTTTACCTTTTAATTTTTTTTTAAGTCTCCCTATACAGAGAGATTGCACAGCAGCTGTAGTATATGGGTAGGGAGAGGATTTGTGGACTTGTCCCATGTTGATTGGCATTGTGTCATTCTAGAAAGTAACTGCTGTACTTCAGGCACATCCATTTTACTTCCTTTAATACTTTGTAGCTCTCTTTGGGTTTCTTTCTTGCAGAAGACTTCAAGTAGTGTTCAGTCATAACACATTTCCTTGTGGCCCTGCTCATGCCTAATCATAGAAGTTTAAAGAGGAGAGGTCTAAGAATTTCTTTCTTTTATTTTTTTAAAATGATTTCTGTAGAGACTGTGATAACATGATTGACTGGTTTCATATATGCAATACTAGTTCAATAAGATTTAGAAGATTTCTAATCACAGCTAATATTTCTCCCTGTTGTTGCTCAAGGTTTTTTTGTTAATTTCATCTGAATATTTTTTCATGTGTAATTTGGGAGCAGGTAAATAAACCCTTTTTTATAATATGCATAGGTTAATATTTATCGGCTAGTCACAAAAGGATCAGTAGAAGAAGATATTCTTGAAAGAGCCAAGAAAAAGATGGTGTTAGATCACTTAGTAATTCAGAGAATGGATACTACAGGGAAAACCATACTACATACAGGTTCTACTCCCTCCAGGTATATTTGTTTATTCTTTCATATTACCTTATGCTTAAGTATACCTGACTATTTGAGTAAAAATGCAAGTCATTTCACTTGATTAATAAAAGGCAAAAAATATGTGGTAAGCAGTTATGTAAGTAAAGACTGAAAGTATATTGTCTTTGTAAATTTTTTTTTTTACATATTAAATATAGGTTTTAAAACAAAAGGAAGTTTGACTCATGGTTATAGTAATTTGAAACAAATCACTAAGATAAAGTGTTTACCTGAAACTTTCTGTATTTCAGCTCAACACCTTTTAATAAGGAAGAGTTGTCAGCAATTTTGAAGTTCGGTGCTGAGGAACTTTTTAAAGAACCTGAAGGGGAAGAAGAGGAGCCTCAGGTAAATGGAACAGTGCATCTACTCTTCATGGACAGAGAAACATGAATTCTTTTGTTGTAAAGAGAAACTTCTGTTTCAGGAAATGGATATAGATGAAATCCTGAAGAGGGCTGAAACTCGAGAAAATGAACCAGGCCCGCTGACTGTAGGAGATGAGTTGCTTTCACAGTTCAAGGTATTGCTCTGTTCCCTCTCTCTTTCCTTAATTATACTTTCCTTTATAAATGCTATTGTCTTTGTTCTTCTTTACCTATTCATCCTTTCTTCATTCTTATATCATTCACACATCATGCAATGGGTAACTGGCTCACTGGTCAGGTGCAAAGGGTTATAGTAAATGGGGTTACCATCAGGCTGGCGACTGGTCACCAGTGGGGTTCCTCAGGGCTCCATCATAGGCCCAGTGCTCTTCAACATGTTCATAAATGACTTGGATGCAGAACTTGAAGGGATACTAAGTAAGTTTGCAGACAATACAAAACCGGGAGGAGCTGTTGACTCCCTTGAGGGCAGAGAGACCTTGACAAATTAGAGGGCTGGGTAAGTATGAAGTTCAACAAGGGAAAGTGCTGGATTCTGCACCTGGGGCAACCTTGGATGTACAGACAGACTGGGGAGCAAGAGGATGGAGAACAGCACTACGGAAAGGGACCTGGGGGTCCTGGCTGATGGCAAGTTGAATATGAGTCAGCAGGGTGCCCTGGCAGCTAGGAGGGCCAACTGTGTCCTGGGGTGCATCAGGCAAAGCATCACCAGCTGGTCAAGAGAGGTGATTGTCTCACTCTACTCTGCAGCGGTGCGACCTCACCTTGAATATTGTGTGCAGTTTTGGGCACCACAATATAAGAAAGATATAGCTATTAGAGAGCATCCAAAGGAGAGCTACGAAGATGATGAAGGGCCTTGAGGGGAAACCATATGAGGAGTGGCTGAGGTCACTTAGTCTGTTCAGCCTGGAACAGAGGAGACCAAGGGGAGACCTCATCACAGTCTACAACTTCCTCACAAGGGGAAGTGGAGGGGCGGGCACTGATCTCTTCTCTGTGTTGACCAGTGACAGGACCTGAGGGAATGGCATGAAGCTGTGTCAGGGGAGGGAGATTTACATTAGATATTAGGAAAAGGTTCTTCACCCAGTGGGTGGTTGGGCACTGGAACAGGCTCCCCAGGGCAGTGGTCACAGCACCAAGCCTGTCTGAGTTCAAGAAACATTTGGACAATGCTTTCAGGCACATGGTGTGATTCATGGGGATGTCCTGTGCAGGGCTAGGAGTTGGACTTTGATGGTCCTTGTGGGTCCCTTCCAACTCAGCATATTCTGTGATTCTGTGAAATGGGTGAAACAGTAAGTCAACTCTTTGGCATGCAATATCTATTCACCTATACAGGGTAATTAATGTCGGTGGAAACATGTAACAATACATAATATATTTTGCTAACAAAATAAGAAAGATGTTTACAAATACATTAGTCCTCAATTTAATTGTTAGAATACTGGGGAGGGCTGTTTTTCATTAAATGCTTTATGCTGTTAAGCACCTGTGGTATTTCTGAAAACAAAGATTGAAATTTGGATTTCTTAGTTGATGACTTTTAGAAATTCCTTTCACCCCCCATGTAAACATGAATGCCAGATATGCTTAACTGGATAATACTTTAAATATTGAGTGAGTCCAATTGTGGGTGGTGAGAGTTTTTTATTTGGGGGGAGGGGGTTTGTTTGTTTTTGTGGATCTTTTTGTGGTTGTTTAGGTTTGGTGTGGTTTTACTTGGTTTTGTTTAAGTCCTGACTTCTTTAGATCAGTAGAGTACTAAATCATTTTCATGCTAATCATCCATTTGCAGTAGATTGTGATTTCTACAGTTTATTATTGTTTGGTTAGTTCTACATTATTATACTTCCATATTAACTCCAACATATAGTTAGATTTGCTTTCTGCTTTGAAGGAAATTAAACAACAATCACAGCTATTGGGGATGCATTTCATAGTGTTTTTATATTACTCAACTTGTAAAAAAAGAAAAATATTCTCATTTTTATATTCAGCCATGTTGCATGAGGTGTGTGTGTTTCATATATGAAAATACTTTCATTAGAGACAGTGCTTCATGAAGCATTTTATATGTGTACGTTTTGTGTATACACAAATAAATAAAATATGCCATTCTGAACTAAGTTTCCCTATTATGTTAATTACTGACTCTGTTTAAATAAAATCATGTAATGATTTGGTGAAAATACTTATGTTCCAATATATAAGGTGGCTAATTTTTCCAATATGGATGAAGATGACATTGAGTTGGAACCAGAACAAAATTTAAGAAACTGGGAAGAAATCATTCCAGAAGTCCAGCGTCGACGAATAGAAGAGGAGGAAAGACAAAAAGAGCTTGAAGAAATATATATGCTCCCAAGGATGAGAAACTGTGCAAAACAGGTATATCTGAGTTTTGATCAACTAACTTTTGATTTTGTTGTTGTTGTTGTTTTATTGCTGTTGTTTTGGCTTGTACTTCTGAGTTGGGTGGTTTTTACAAGTGGCACCCACACACACATTCCTCCCCTCATTTTTGACAGGCTAGATAATATATTAATAAAATGTTTTAGTCATGTAGCTTTGAACTACTTAATCTGAAATTCCAGATCAGCTTTAATGGAAGTGAAGGGAAACGCAGTAGGAGGAGAAGATATTCTGGATCTGATAGTGACTCAGTCTCAGAAAGAAAACGACCAAAAAAACGTGGAAGACCTCGAACTATTCCTCGAGAAAATATTAAAGGATTTAGTGATGCAGAGATTAGGCGGTAAGATGTGGGGGGACATGCATGTTTAAAGGGACAAAACATTTTTTTATCATTTTAGAGTTTGAAAATATGGAAAACAGTCTATTTTTCATGAATTTAGTTGAAATTTTTTATTCTAGGCATTTAAGACTTTACTTTGTGTAGTTTTGGTTGCTGACATAAGGAACTGTTATGTCCAGAATTCGAACCTATTTTGGTGAGGAATAACATGGGGTTCAAAGTTTTGTTTTGTTAAATTTCTTGCCATTGTAATTGTATTAATGTTACATGATGCTTTTTAAAGCTAAAAAGAAAAAATCTATTTTGATAAGTTTTTGTGGTTTAACCTCTGTAGGCAGCTAAGCACCACACAGCTGCTTGCTCAGTCTCCCCCCGAAACATCGGGTAGAGAATCAGAAGGATAAAAATGAGAAAACTTGTGGGTTGAGATAAAGACAGTTTAATAGGGAAAGCAAAAGCCACATGCACAAGCAAAGCAAAACAAGGAATTCATTTACCACTTCCCACTAGCAAGCATTTACCCATTTCCTAGAAAGCATGGCTTCATCATGTGTGACAGTTACTTGGGAAGACAGATACCATAACACTGAACATCCCCTCTCCCTCCTTCTTCCACACATTTTTTATTACTAAGCATGACATCATATGGTATGGAATATCCCTTTGGTCAGTTGGGGTCAGTTGTCCCAGCTGTGCCTCCTCCCAACTTCTTGTGCACCCCTAGCCTACTCACTGGCAGGGTGGTGTGAGAAGCAGAAAAGGCCTGTTTTGCTCACAAATCCAAAATGGACTAGCAGGTATGGTGCTCCGAAGAAAATTAACTTTTATCTCAGCGAAAACCAGTACATAAGTGAATCTGTACAGCTGGTCCCAGAATATTTGGTGCTAAAAATACTTCTTTGGTAGAAGGAGTAGAAATTGTTTTGCTTTACTTTGATTGGCTTGGGAAATGCTACATTGCTTCTGTATTCATGTCTCTCTAAAATACTGTAAAGCTTATAAAATATTTTTGATTATATAAATAGCCTTAAAGAGCCTTGTTTCCTTTTCATTTTATCTAATATATAATGGTTTTGTCAGGGGTATTCTTGTGCTTGCATTCCTTTATCTTTCATGTTATGTTTTCCTATCTTAAAATCACCATAAAATTGCAGCTAGCTTCTCTTTATTATGAGAGGCTTAACATATCTGAATTCTCTATTTACTATAAATCCACATTTAATTTCTATTAGACACATCACATTGCTGAATTCTTTGTCTTGTAAAACTAGCAAAGAAATTTTTGAAATTAATTTCATCTTCTATTGTTTTATTTCTATCAGTTATTAAACCAAATAGAACTCTGGCTTTAAATGTGGGTTGTCTTCATATACTAAGCCGTCCTAGTCTCTCTAGTTCTTATTTTCTTTGCATTATCCACATAGTCTTGTACTGAGACTTTACAAATACATTTTTAACACCAGTGTAGTTAAGCATACATTTTTTTAACTGCAAAATTATTTTATGTTACTAGATTTATCAAGAGTTACAAGAAATTTGGTGGTCCACTTGAAAGGTAAACTACTTTGCTTATATTTGTATAGCAACTTGGTACCTTATTTCCATCAAAATTAGAACAGAACATCAAGAAACCTTAGGTTGAAGACAAAATAATGTGCCTAATCTTTTGCCTGCACTATAACATGAATTTAAATTATTTTTTTTCCTTTCATCATATATGGTATGTGTGTAAACAGCCAGTTTGACAAATCTTTAAATTTTGCAAGACTGCTTGCTTTTTCTTTATACTTTACCTACTGCCCTGTTTAATCTGCATTAGTGACGATTATTTAGGGTTTTTGTTTGATAATTGTACACAGCATAGCGTGGGTAAATGATAGTTTACATGATCACTTCTCTAGTTTCAAAATCTGAAGAAGTCATTCGTAATACTAAAGTTTTATAGTTGTAAAAACATTTTTCTTCCAGGTTAGATGCTATAGCTAGAGATGCTGAGCTAGTTGATAAATCTGAGATGGACCTTAGACGTCTGGGAGAACTTGTACATAATGGATGCATTAAGTCTTTAAAGGACAATTCCTTCGGACAAAGAGCAGGTAAAGTGTGTTTGGGGGTGGGGGAGAGGAACAAAAAGTATCAAGAGATCTGAAAGATTCTTGCACTCTGATTATAACAAAACAAATGTGTTAGGGGAAAACATGAACAAAATGTTAGCATGCTAGGTGATTTAGGAAAAAGGATTTTAGTAAGAAGACTTTTTGATTTTGTTTTTCTTCCCCCTTCCCCTGAGTGAGTTGTCACAGTAGAATGCAGTATGTTTTTGCTTTGCCATGAAATTTAAAATTATTCTGCTACTATTAACTGGAAGACAGTAAGATTCTGGAGTTTAATTAAAGCATTTAGTTAAGAAAAATTCATTTCTTATAATTGAATGTCTACTGCTATAGCATCAAACTTTCTTTTTTCTCTATGTTTGTCTATAAGATACACGTGAAGGCTAAATATTTTAATTATTTGGTCCTTTATTTTAAGGAGGTAGATTTGGGAAAGTTAAAGGCCCAACATTTCGAATATCAGGAGTGCAGGTGAATGCAAAGCTAGTCATTTCTCATGAAGAAGAGTTGGCACCATTGCACAAATCCATTCCTGCAGATCCAGAAGAAAGGAAAAGGTATTTTTTTTCTTCCTAAAGGAACTCATAATGTGGAAAGTTATTTAAGGCTTTTTTGCATATATTTAAGCAATCTAGACTCAAAGTACACTGGGACACCCATGTCACTCCATTACCTCTAAGAACTGACAGCAGCAATCTGCTCCACATCCTTTCTTTATTCTTTCATTCCTCTCCTTAGAAGCCAGCATTTGCTTTGGCTTCTGAACTGTATTCATTGGGGACTGGGTTCAATTACTCTTAATTATTCCAGACTAGAAATTAGGCTTGTTGAGGTATGTCACCTCTACCTGAGAGAAAGCAATATTTGTCAAAATGGAGCAGATGGTAATTGTTGGTAGTTGTTTAGCCTTGAGAACTTTTTAGCTTGCTACCTTGTGTATCGTATTCCCTAGACTATCTGCTTATTCATTTAGCAGTTAAGCTTATCTTCATGATTAGTCAGTTCTGACTCAGTCCATGGCCACAGAGAGATGTCTGGTTTTTATATCTTGATCTGATTTAAAACATGTTTTGGTACTGATTTTAATGAATATTTTATAGAAATTGTAAGAAAGCCTGATAGTTATCTGGATTACCGACTAAATATATCAGGATCTTAGTGCTGTGTGGCATGTTTTCCTATCTAAGTTTTAGAAGTTTACTTATCTATATTTCTAATTTATTTCTACTAGATATGTCATCCCATGCCACACCAAGGCAGCTCATTTTGATATAGATTGGGGTAAGGAAGATGATTCCAATCTGTTAATAGGTATCTATGAATATGGCTATGGCAGCTGGGAAATGATAAAAATGGATCCTGATCTCAGTTTGACACAGAAGGTATGTCATCTACAAAATTTCATCAAGGACTTTTTTTGTTTAGGTGATAATGCTAATAAGAACAGTTACTGAAAGAGCTTATTTTATGATAATGGAAATTGCACAGAAGTTAGGTCAGTTGTACTCCTTTGCATACTTTTGGTAAATTATTAGATTTTAAGATTTTGTGTATTCAGTTGAAGTATAGCTTCTTAGAGTCTGCTACGTTTCTGTATTTCTATGTATTTGTATCTCTGTCACTTGAATTCTCTCTTCCATCCTTTGCTTCCCTAGTTTAGATGCTCTAGTAGTTAGGTCATGTAGAAAGAAAATTACAAAGGCAAAAGCTTAACTAGAATTCGATCTGGCCACTGCTGTGAAAGATAATAAAAAGTGTTTTTATAAATACATTAACGAAAAATGGAGGGCCAAGGAAAATCTCCATTCTTTATTGGACCCAGAGGGGAACATTGTCACCAAAGACAGGAAAAGGCTGAGGTATTTAACACCTTCTCTGCCTCAGTCTTTAACAGTAAGATCAATTATCCCCAGGGCAACCAGCCCCCTCAGCTGGTAGACAGAGACAGGGAGCAGAATAGAATCCCTGCAATCCAAGAGGAAGCAGTGCCACCTGCTGTGCCACTTAGACACTCACAAGTCTATGGGACTGGATTGGATTCATCCAAGGGTACTGAGGGAGTTGGCAGAAGAATTCATCAGTCCTGACTAACCAGGGAGGTCCCATATGACTGGAGGTTGACCAATGTGATGCCCATCCACAAGAAGGGCTGGAAGGAGCATCCAGGGAACTACAGGCCTGACCTCAAGTGCCTTGCAAGGTGATGGAGCAGATTACCTTAAGTGCAATCACACAGCACCTATAGGACACATGGGGGATCAGACCCAGCCAGCAGGGATTTAGGAGGGGCAAGTCCTGCCTGACCAACCCAATCTCCTTTTAAGACCAGATAACCCACCTAGTGGATGAGGGGAAGGCTGTGGATGTGGTCTATCTGGACTTCAGCAAAGCCTTTGACACTGTCTCCCATGACATACTCCTGGAAAAGCTTTCGGCCCATGGCTTGGACAGGTGCACTCTTCACTAGGTTAAGAACTGGCTGGATGGCCGGGCCCAGAGAGTGCTGGTGAATGGTGCTGCATCCAGTTGGTGGATGGTCACTAGTGCTGTTCCCCAGGAATCAGTGTTGGGCCTGATCCTGTTTAATATCTTTATTGATGATGTGGGCAAGGGAATCAAGCATATCCTCAGTAAATTTCCTAATGACACTAAGTTGGGTGGGAGTGTTAATCTGCTGGAGGGTAGGAATGCTCTGCAGAGGGATCTGAACAGGCTGAATCAATGGACCAAGAATCAATGGACCAAGACCAATTGTATGAGGTTCAACAAGGCCAGGTGCTGGGTTCTACACTTGAGTCACAACAACCCCATGCAACACTACAAGCCTGATGAAGAGTGTCTGGAAAGAGACCCAGCAGAAAAGGACCTGAGGGTCCTGGTTGACAGCCAGCTAAACATGAGCCAGCAGTGTGCCCAGGTGGCCAAGAAGGCCAATGGCATCCTGGCTTGTATCAGAAATAGTGTGACCAGCAGGACCTGGGGAGTGATTGTCCCTCTGTACTCAGCACTGGTGAGGTCACACCTTAAGTACTGTGTCCAGTTCTGGGCCCCTCACTACAAGAAAGACATTGAGGGACTGGAGCATGTCCAGAGAAGGGCAATGAAGCTTGTGAAGTGTCAAGAGAGTAAGTCATATCAGGAGCAGCTGAGAGAGTTGAGGTTGTTTAACCTGGAGAAAAGGAGTCTCAGGGGAGACCTTATTGCTCTCTACAACTACTTGAAAGGAGGTTGTAACACAGTGGACATCGGCCTCTTTTCCCAGACAACTAGAGACAGACCAAGCACCTCAAACTGTGCCAGGGGAGGTTCAGGTTGGACATCAGGAGAAATTTCTTCATAGAAAGGATTGTTAAGCATTGGAATGTACTGCCCAGGAAGGTGGTGGAGTCACTATCCTTGGCAGTGTTCAAGAAATGACTGGACATGGCACTTAGTGTCATGGTCTAGTTGACAAGGTGGTGATCACTCAGTGGTTGAACTCGATGATCTCAGAGGTCTTTTCCAATCTAAATGATTCTGTGATGTTGTGATTTTATTCTTGGTCTTTTGGAGGGAAATTGGTTTGGTTTTCCTATCCCTGTTTCCTTTGCTTGAAACTGTCTTTCATTTACAACATGAGAATTGCTGTATTTATCAGATTAGAAGTAGTGCAGTGGCTGCTTAGAATTAGTGAGAAACATTTAGGAAAAGACTGGAGTGAAGCAAACTCAGTGATACTGCCAACAACCTGTAGCTTTGAGATTTGAGGAACCAGGGTTGTATATAAATCTGTTTAAGGATATCTTGCCCCTGCCTTCCATTAATTTGCTTGTTTTATGAAACCACTCATTTATATTTTTGGCTTCTGGCATATTCTGTGGTAATGAATTAATACATTTAGAAGCATCAGGCAGAACTAGGAGATCTGTGTATGACAGTGGTACAGAAGCTCTGAATTTTTCAGATAAACTATGAGAGTGGAAACAGAAATCTGAGGCTAGTTTCTTGAGTTTACTGTAAACTTTGTGAGACTATTTTTAAGACTACATTAATTGTGTGTTTGAAGAAAAATTAAATGTTGAAGTTCTCCATTCCTTGAAGCATGCCTGCATATTGGTCAGATATAGTTGGAGTGGATTTGGTTTTTTACCTATTTTTTTCATTCAGCTTTTTCTGTTCCCAGTGTTCCAGACTAGCAGCTTCCTAATTTGATAATGTGTACTTATAGTTGATGCTACCATTGCTCTCCTCAGATTTTACCTGATGATCCAGATAAGAAACCCCAGGCCAAGCAGTTGCAGACTCGTGCAGATTACCTTATTAAATTACTGAATAAAGACCTTGCAAGAAAAGAAGTGCAAAGACTTACTGGTGCAGTAAGTTAAGCTTAATATTCAGTAGTGAGATAATATAATATGCCTATGGGAATGTCAGTAAATACTTGTTTTATTCTTAGTTCCACTCTTCTTTGCTTTGTGTAATTTTTCTCTGTATTGGTGATAGTGTTATATGAGACTAACTCAAGGAATGTATTGCAAGTTTAATATTGTTTTTTTCTCCCTTATTTGTATATATTCTCTACTGTTACATTAGGCTTGGTCTCTAGTCCTGAGAAAAGTGGTGGTCATTAGTGGCCATAAATAAAATGAATGATTTCTTTAACATAAAAACCAAAATCTTTTTCTGCAACTGTGATGCAGACACTTGTCAGTTGACATAATAAAAGTACTACTTTGCATTCAGGGCAATTCAAAGAGGAAGAAAACAAGAAGTAAGAATAGAGCATCAAAGGCTGCAAAAATTAAAGAAGAAACAAAAAGTGACTCCTCATCACTACCCTCAGAAAACTCTGATGAAGATGATGAGCATAATGAGGTAAACATCATTCATATAAAGATGAGCATTGTATCTTTTAGAAATGCAATTCTAATTTTAATATTTTAATATAACATCTGAATATAAAAGTAGTGATTCTGATTAACCCATTATTACTACTGATAATGATTCTTCATGTAGCAACTTTTGTTCAGGCTCGGGAAAAAATTAAGCTTGATTAGAAAGTACAACATGAATAAACAATGTTTTGAGACATGGAAGTGAATGCTGCTGCTACTGATCACAACCCTCTGGGATCTGCCATTTAACCAGTTCTCAATCTGCCTTACCATTGGCTCGTCCAGCCCCCACTTTCTGAGTTTGCCTATGAGGATATCATATGATACAGTGTTGAAAGCCTTGCTGAAGTCAAGGTAGACAATATCCACTGCTCTCCTCTCATCTATCTAACCAGTTGTCCCATTGTAGAAGGCAATCAGGTTGGTCAAGTATGATTTCACTTTGGTAAATCCATGCTGACTACTCCTGATCATCTTCTTGTCTTCCATGTGCATAGAAATGACCTCCAGGATGAGCTGTTCCATCACCTTTTCAAGTATGAAGGTGAGGCTGACTGGCCTTTACTTCCCTGGGTCCTCCTTTAAAGATGATTGAGGGTGGCCTAACTGATGTCTGCCAGTTCCCTCAGCATTCATGGGTTCATCCCATCAGGACCCATGGACTTGTGGATGTCAAGTTTGACTATTATTCAATAGATACTGTTCTAACAGGCTACTCAACTTTGTTGTGCTTTTATTACTCCTGATGTATTCCTTTAGGACTCTATTTTTGTTGGGTCATTTATTTAAATTTATCACACAGCAGAAACCACTAGAGAGAAGAAAAAAAAAAAAACCAACAGATTAAGTTTAGGGGACATGTTACACCTAATTTTGTGACTTTGAAGGTAACTGAAAGAACATTAGATTCTTTGGAACATCTCTGAAAAAGAGAAAGTTGTTCCCTTCTCCTGTGACTGTTTAATTTGTGGTCAGTCAAAAGTTACTGGAACAAAACTAACCAGAACAGAGGTCTTCTATCATCACAATGCCCTGAAAAATCAGCTCAGTCTTGTGAGGCCTACTTCCTTATTGTTTTTAGCTCTTTGCAGCTTAACTACCTTTTACAGGGCAGATTTCTTTGGTAATACAAAAGTTAAATGGATTTAATCTCTCACACCCCCACATTACCCCTGCCCAATCAAGACTTGTTTTGTGTCACATCAAGGAAATAAGTGAATAGTCCTCATTTTGTTTTGCAACTGCATTCAGCTCCATTTGATAGGTGTTAAACCTATGTCTAATCACACACAGAAAAAAAGTGCATTTTAATCTGATGGTTACAAAATGTGTATAGTTAGGAACTCAATTTGATGTGACATATATGCTTATGTATTGCAGAATAAGATTGTTTCAGTGAAACGTCCACATAAAAAAATAAAAGCAAAAGAAGAAAATGAAGAAAAGCCTGAGCCAGATATTGGTATAAAGAAGGAAGCTGAAGAAAAAAGAGAGACAAGAGAAAAAGAAAACAAGAGGAATCTGAAAAAGGAGAAAAAAGAAAAAGAGGATAAGAAAGAATTAAAAAATATTAAAGAAAAGAGAGAAAACAAAGTAAAAGAATCCATGCAGAAAGAAAAAGAAGTAAAGGAAGAAAAGGTAACTAGGTTTATTTTTTCTTATATAGCACTAGAAAAGGCCACCAGGATTTTGTGAATGACTTTGAGTTGAAAAGATATTTTGGATCATTCACTTTACAGTTGTCACTTCATTGAAATTTTTTCAATCGTGAAGTTTTATTTTTACCACTTGTAACTACAAGGACAGGCAAATGAAATCTTTAAAGATCCATAGCTTAATGGGACTGAGAGTGCAAGTGGTGCAAAGAAACTTGTCCATTCTCCTTCTCCATCCCTTGGAGAGAGAAAATAAAAGGTACTGTCACTGAATGTCAGATTTTTTTCTTTTTTTTTTTTGTTCTTATTGAATAGAATGCAGTAAATACAGTGATTGCCTAATTACAGTATAATTCCAGGCCAAAAATAAGGTTTCTTATCAGATAAATTTTCATATTTTGTTCTTAGGTAAATGAAATCAAATCTGAAAATAAAGAAAAAAATAAAAAAGTTTCATTGTTGGATATTCCAGTTCATATTACTGCAACTAGTGAACCAGTTCCAATATCAGATGAATCTGAAGAACTGGATCAGAAGACATTCAGTGTGGTAAGTCCCTTGTTGATAACTTGCTGTTTACACTTGATATTCTAAATGAGCACAATTTCTGATGTTTTTGATGCTATTAGGCATTATAATACAGATATCTGTTGCCAATAAAATCTACTAAATTTGGTTTTGTTTTCAGGCCAGCAGTTTTATTTTATTGCATTTATGCAGTATAGTGAAGAGTATTTGTCTAGTTGTCTGTGTGCTGGACAGTTTTAAAATACAGACTGTGAAGATCCATCCTCAAGAATAATTTGTGGATACTGCTTCTTAAAGGACAAAACTGAATGAGGAAGGAACAAATCCTAAAACCCTTAGAAATATCTTACCAGAGTAATATATCTGATACCAAAACAATTTCAGTTATATTACTACTTTTGACCGCAACAGAATCAATATTGGAAGAAAAAAAGGGAGATATGTAACATTTTATAGGTCAATTGGGGCCTTTGGAAAGATGCTAAGGAGTTATTTTGAGTAGCTAGTTTTCTGCTGTGAAAGTTCTATCATTCAGCTCTCAACAGTTGTTACTGCTAGACAGGTTTATTGGATCTACTGTGGTGCTTGCTATGAGAAGCAAATTATCTTGTTTTCTCATTGGTATGGTACTGACCAGTTTATCTTTGTGGGGGTTGTTGTTTTGTTTTTTGTTTTTTATCTAAGTAACTCATCCATAATTTCCAGGATATCTTGTGAGTGGCTAGTTGACTGAAAATCACACAATTCCCATGAATAATTCTACTTCTCTGTTCACATCTACAATTAAGCAGTGTACTTTGTAAACTGTCTTTTTAAAGGTTGCTTTAAGCTGTGGTTAGTGCAATAGCTAATGTAGCTGCTTAATTACTTAATGGCATGAACTGTTAATGGAACAGCTTAAATGATTTTTGAGTTGTCCCTAGATGTTGCCACCGTGATGGTGATGTTCTCCAAAATCCCTCACATTTTTGATTCTGGATAAACACACTTGCCTCTCTTCCTAAGTGGGAGCAATTCTAGGTTGGGTTTGCATATAGAACATTTTTTTAGCCAGGCCCTCTGTTCTGGAAGGTATATTCATCATTATGCCATAATCAGATGAAATCTAATTAGCATATTTATATTTTAAGATGGAAATTACTGCTGTGGGTTGTTGAGGCTAACTCATTTGACTTCTTGTCTACCTTGTGACAGGTAAAAATACACATTTCATCTGTCTACCTTGCCATTGTAATTGAATGGTATTTTCAAGTAAGCATCTATAATTTAAAACATGCTAACTGGTTTATCTGTATTTACTATTAACACATTTGAATTAGTGTGAAAATTCAAGAATACACATAGGAAATATATCTATCAGTACATATGTGTTGTCATCACTGTTACTAATTTAGGCACACCTAAACTAGATTTATCCTAGTATCTGCATAGAACTCAGGCTTAAAAACTGCTCAAAGGAATGCTGATCCTCTGTTGAATGCCAAGTTTATTGCTGCAGAAAGTGTCTATTTAAAATATACTCTCATTCTTGACACTGAATTTGTATAGCTTTCAAGACTCTAAAAAATAAAATAAGTCTTATCCTTGTCTTAGTTTAAAGACAAATATTGGGAGGTCGGAACTCCAATAAGATGAACTCTCCCTTTTTATAGTGGAACCCCCCCAAAAATGTGAGGAGGTTATAATTGAAAAAATAACAGTTTACTAAATGGAAAAAGCAGTAACTACAAAGATACAGGGGAAACAGTTTACCCATAAAGAGGGGAATGCACCACCCACGTGGCTCCCTGGGAACAAAGGGGAAAGAAAATGATGGAGGGTTTTTTCCCCACCAACCCCCTCCTTCAGGTCTTAACTGCAGCAGTGGTACCAGTTCCAAGTCTCTGTTCCCTGGCGGAAGGGTTGTTGTCTCTTGTTCTGAGCGGCAAGGGGTGCAGCTGTCCCACACTGGGTGAGCAGTGAGCAAAGTGGAGCGGCAATGGGGGTGGAGGTGCAGCCATCCCATGCCAGGTGAGCAGCAGCAGCAGCAGCAAGCAGAGTGACTCCCAGCTGGCTCAGTCATACCTCGGAGCTGTCCACTTCAGCACCGAAACTCTGTACTAGCACTCTGGAGGAGAAATGGGAGAATTGGCAGGTGGCAGAAGGGATCAAATTTCTCCATGGGTTTTTTGAGGACAGTCCACACTGTTTCAGTGACCAAGGCAAGATGGCGTACTTCTGGTTCCCAGAGTGGCTTTTCTGTTGTCCCTGTCAGGCTGGGATGGCTTCCAGCCACACCTGACACCCTGGAAACAACTTTTACCCGCATTGAAAACTGCCCCCTTCCCTCCAACTCCCTGCATTGGGAGGGCAGGGTGACCCCCTTCAGATGATGTAATGATATGAATATTGATTGCTATAATTCTCTTCCCTGGCTTGTAACCATAACAGTCCTATATACTTGTGCTGAAAGTTACACCCGTGATTGGAAAACCTAGTGATAATAATTCCTTTCTCTCAGAAAATCTTTTATATTAACTTAATACTTTCTTAAATCTTTAATATTTTTTACATACAATTTAATACTTTCATATAGGAGTAAATTTTCATCTGTATTTAAAAACCTACTTTTTCCAAATGAAACCTTGTAGTAAAACTAAAAGAGCTGTGAGCAAAGATTTGTTTTTTCATTTGGCTTACAACAGTACTGTCTTTGCATATGTAAGGGTGAGTTATGTTTTACAATTTTTATTATGTTTTTATTTTTGAATTAATGTATTCCTTTTTTACATTTTATAGTGCAAAGAAAGAATGAGGCCTGTCAAAGCAGCATTGAAACAATTGGATAGACCAGAGAAAGGTCTTTCTGAAAGGGAACAGCTGGAGCATACTAGACAGTGCCTAATCAAAATTGGGGACCACATTACTGAATGTCTAAAGGAGTACACAAATCCTGAACAAATTAAACAGTGGAGAAAGTAAGTTATTATGCATGGTATTTCTTGAAAATAGGAAATCCATAATATCTTCTATTAATCAGAATACTTTTAAATTATTTTTCTTGTTTCTTATTCTCCCTTTCTTTTATTTTTCTACTGTATTAAATAAGGACTTTGTCTCAGTTTACCGAAACAGAAGTTTTTTCTAAGAAGGGCGAGATATGAGGAAAACCAAGCTCCTCCCTCTAAGCAATAGTAACTCTGAAATTAAGAGACTCCAGTCGAGAAAATGAGGAGAAAGGAAAAGTAACAGTTCTTTATTAAAGAATATATGTGTATAGGTAAACACAACAAAAGAAAAAAACCCCAACAATCCTGCATCCAAATTCTCACCAAAAAAAACCCCAGTTAAGTACTTTTCGCCTTTTAGAGCAGTTCTAACCACAACCAGCAGGGGGCGCTGTTGGATCTCTGGTGGAGCAAAGGCTGCAGTTGCCCTCTAGTGGTCAGCAGGGGACACTGTTGAGCTCTGGCGACCGCTGCCCCCTCCGCGTGGGGCCCAGCGCACAGGAGGTGGCCAGATGGGACCCCCCACCAAAGTGGGGAAGGAAAAAGGGGGGAGGGTGATCCTCCCGTGGACTCATGCTGTCAAAAAACTCTGACTGGAACTTCCCTTCTCTCGTAAATGGATGCAAGCTTCCACCAGCATGGAAAGAGGAGGAGGAGGAGGGAAAAAAGAGCAGCCTTTTCCCTTAGAAACTCCTCTGCAGATTGGCACCAGCCTCTCTGATGAAATCCGAGGCAGGTCCATGTTATAAGTTAATATAAGAATTTAGACAACTCAATTCCAATTGAACATTGATAAATTTATTAAGCAAGCAATAATAAAGCAAACAGAGCTGGGTGGCCTGGGGGGCAGTTGCCCCGCCCGAGACATACACTGAAAATGTAGTAAATGTTCCTTTTTATACATTTCCAAGTCCCGAGTTTTGAATGTGGCTGCGTTGAGGCTTGAGTTCGTGGTTCATTGCTAAGTGGTCATCTGGCATTTGTCAGAGATGAAAGCTGCAGTTCTTATCAGCTGTAAATTTTACCAATACTGATACTTGTTTGTTTAGCAAGATGTCTGCAATTATTTTTACTGACACTTGCTTAATTAACAGGATGTCTATGAAACTTATCTTGTTGAATTATAACAAAAGTTCCTTATTCCCTCATACACATAAGATTTTATGAACAAAGTTAACCCTTCTATTACAGTCCAGCCAGTAGGCAGAACAGGGTGTGAGGGAATGGGGGCAAGCCGGGGCCAAAAGCAGCCAGGTGACTTGGCCAAAAGCAAGATGACCCCCGGAGCTCTCTCTCCTCACACACACCCTCCCTGAGTCCAGCAAAGAAGTGAAGTCCCGCCCCAGAGGAAAGAAAAAAAAAAAAAAAAAAAAAACTCACCTCACCCCACAGTCCGCCGAAGCCATTAGTTTGGAATGTGAGACTTTTTTCTTTTTTGTGTATGCTCACTTCAACCATCTCCTCCCACAGGGCCTGCACGGTAGCCTCTCAAGCAGCCCCCCTGCTCTCACCTTTCTTTCACAGTCCTAAGGGGAAAAAATTTCCAAGCAGAGTTCCCCTCCTTTTTTTTCTTTAAAACAAGAAAACCTAAGACAGACATAAAAAGATGATTATAGATGGTTCAAACTTTTATTGGATTCACTTTTTTATACTTGCATAGCAATGCATTTTGTCCTGTAGGTGGAGCGTACTTTTTAAAACCAAAAGCAAACAAAATAACCATATTTAGAGTATATTTATTATTTAGTGGAAAACAGTTCTTATCATTAAAGAATCTGCCCTTTTCAACTTTGTAGTTTGTTTTGTTTTTTATTCATGCTAAAAATAGGCCATTATAAATTTGTGTATTTAACTTTGATTTTGAGTTGCAGAATCCTTTATTCTTTTTAAAAATATACTCTAAATCAAATATGAACTGACTTGATAGAAAATATTTATCATAACATACTCAAAAATTTATTTCAAAATGAAAGAAGAGTTTTAAGTGTTCTTATGCATCTGTGAGGTGATAACATTGGAATAAATAAGAAAAATGTTGGTTTATAAAATTGCTATATTTTGTTGTTAAGTTCTTAATACAATTTGAGTTAGTTTTATCATAATGTATACTTAATTCCTTCATGGTTGCAAATATGGTTGCACTTCCATATACGACACTTCTCAGTCAAGTGTTTAATTTTCTTGCAGACTGTTGTTAACATAGAATATTTCTGTTGTTTGTACTTGCTTTATTTTAAAATATTGGGCTGAACTGAAATACAAAAACAATCCATGTCTTAAAGACACTTTGGTAAATGTTATGTTTCGTTAAGTGGAAATTCATCGTAGGATCATAGAATCATAAAATCATTAAGGTTAGAAAAAACCTCTAAAATCATCAACCATTAACCTAACACTGTCATGTTCACCACTAAACCATGTCACCAAGTACCACATCCACACATTTTTTGAACACTTCCAGGGATAGTGATTCCACCACTTTCCTGAGCAACCCGTTCCAATTCATGAACACCCTTTCAGTGAAAAATGAGTATAGTAGAGATACTATAATGTTAATTCTTAATAATGCTACAGTACCATACATGGATTATTAAAATATGTATTTCATCAGTCTTTAATAAGACAGAATTTAGTAAAGGTATTCGTACTATATTTCTTATACAGATGTCATTGGGCACACCATTGTCTGGTTGTGTCTACTTTTGTAAACCTCTAGGCCAAAACTATAATGTTTAAATCATCACAGTGAAAGAGCAGATAGATGCTTCTTGAATGTACACACTTGAGATGTTTCTGAACTAAACACTAGTTTTCATGCACTTTGCATTCTGCAGTCATTGTGATAAATATTACAAAACAACAAATTCTTAAAGTAATTAATTTCTGTGAAGTTTGAAATAGAGCTAAGTAATTATTGCTGTGCAACTAGGCAATAATCTGTGTAACGGACTTTACTATGATTTCAGTTTACTGAAGTACTGTTAAAATAATTTCACTTAAGTCCATGTTCTGTTATATGACTGTAGTTGGTTGACCCTGGTTAGATCCTAGGAATCCACCAAAGCCACTCTATCAGTCCCCTTACCAGCTGGACAGGGGAGAGGGAATAATGAAGGGTTCATTAATTGAGATAAGGACTGGGAGAGATCACTCACTGATTACTGTCACAGGTAAAAAACAGACTCAAGGTGGGGATATAAATTAAATTTATTACTGACAAAATCAGAGCAGGATAATAAGAAGTAAATCTTAAAAACACCATCCCCTCCACCCCTTCCTTCTTACCAAGTTCTACTTCCTCCTCCCCCAGTGGTACAGGGAGATAGGAAATGGGGGTTATGGTCAGTCCATCACAACTTGTTTCTGTCGCTGCTCAGAGAGAGGAGTCTTTCCCCACTCCACTTTGGGGTTCCTCCCACGGGAGACGGTTCTTCATAAACTTCTCCAACTTGGGTCCATCCCAAGGGAAGAATTCTTTGCAAACTGCTGCAACATGGGTCACTTTTCCATGAGGTGCAGTACTTCAGGCACAGGCTGCACCACAGCATCACAAGTCCTACCAGGAAAACCTGCTCCAGCATGGGCTTCTCTCTCCACGGGTCAGCAGGTCCCTGCCAGGACCCTACTCCAGCATGGGCCTCCCATGGGATCACAGCTTCCTTCAGGCATGCACCTGCTCTGGCATGGGTGTCCTCCACAGGCTGCAGGTGGATCTCTGCACCCCTGTGGTCCTCCATGGGCTGCAGGGGGACAGCTGCCTCACCATGGTTCGCACCACGGGCTGCAGGGGAACCTCAGCTCCAATGCCTGGATCACCTCCTCCCCCTCCTTCTCCACTGACCTTGGTGTCTGCAGAGTTGTTCACATTCTCACTCCACTCTTCTCTGGTTGCCATTTCATTTGTGCAACAACTTTTTCTCCTTCTTAAATATGTTATCCCAGAGGCACTACTATCATTCTTAATTGGCTCGACCTTGGCCAGTGGCAGGTCCATCCTGGAGCTGGCTGTCATTGGCTCTGTCAGACATGGGAGAAGCTTCTAGCAACTTCTCACAGAAGCCACCCCTGTAGCCCCCCTTTTACCAAAACCTGACCATGCAAACCCAATGCAATGACACAATTAAAAAATTATATATGGAAAATTATAGACTCTCTTTCTTTTTCCTCAGAAACTTGTGGATTTTTGTCTCTAAGTTTACAGAATTTGATGCCAGAAAGCTGCACAAACTGTATAAACATGCAATCAAAAAACGTCAAGAATCTCAGGTAATACTTTCAGACTCTAAATATACAAATATATATTCTAAGTTTTATAATTGTTATTATTATGTATCAATTGTCTACACTCAATATACTTTAAATGTATTTTGCTGTTCATAGTAAACTAGTCTAAACTAGTCTTAGGATATTTTCTGAAGAATTCAGATGCAACTCTGGGATTTATCAATGATTATTTTTATACTTGTCTCTTTTAGCACAATGACCAGAATATTAGCAACAATGTGAATACACATGTAATTAGAAATCCAGGTAAGAAATCTAGAGCATATTATTGTGCTGTATATCTTAAATGATGGTATGTAAAGTGAAATAAATTTAAAACTGTCTCCTAGAACTCCCATACTGATGGATATCATAGGAATAGGATGACTTAGTATAACTTCACTAGTTTGCTGATGAAATTCAACTGAGCATGGACCAAATTTGGCACTTACTGATTTTAGTAGCAAGTTATTTGGCCATTCTTTTAAAGTAAATAAATTAATTTTTAAAACCCACACTTTTTTGTATTTAATTTTGAGAAGGGAGAGAGGCCAACTCAACACTTGTAAACTTCTTGGAAGCTCTATACTTGTTTGTAGCAGTTGTAATGTCACCATATCATAAAAAAGATATTTCCTGAAGTCATGGTTAGCAATCAGTTATATGGGATGTCTTTTATTATTGGCAATAATACTGGTTTTCTGTGCTCCCACTGTTATCTTCTTGAAATACTTGGTTTTATACCATGTTATATAAAACCTAGAGTATGTTATCATGGGTTTAAAATGAGTACAATGTATTTTAGGAATACCACTAATTACCTATCATTAAGGTGTACCTCTAAAGCTGGTGTTCACACTAGGGCTGTCTCTCCTTTGAGAGGAACTTCCTACCATTTTGTTTCAAATTGCTCTGCTCAAGGTACCTGGTCTCTACTCACTGCTAATTTGGACCACACTGATCTTCTCCATTCAGTCTGTAAGGTTGAAAAATTTTATTTCTCAGCCTTACATATTTACATTTCTATTGCTTGCTTCCTTACTTCTGAGGTTTCTCTCAGTTCGCTCACATTACTGCATTTGTCTTTCAATTATTTAGATATTGTTTCTGGCAAACTATAATGCCACTTTCACATCACTTTAAATCCTACAGATAGAAGTGCTGTTTGTATTGGTGAAGAAAAAAAATTATACTATATGAGACTTCCTTATAACCTCTGTTTTAATTAACAGATGTTGAAAGACTGAAGGAGAATACAAACCATGATGACAGTAGCAGGGACAGTTCTTCTGATAGATATTTGTCACAGTACCATGATCATCATAAGGACAGGTATCAGGGAGATGCTTATAAGAAAAGCGACTCAAGGAAAAGGTCCTATTCAGGCTTCAGCAATGGAAAAGACCACAGAGACTGGGATCACTATAAACAAGACAGCAGGTAAATTGCTCTGTTAAGAATTCCCTTCCTGGTTTTGCAGTATGCTTGTAGTAAGCACCAATGAATCTTTTCTAAGCAATGCAGAATTGCAAAGACATTTCTCTTATGCAGTTCTATTGAATTGACATAATCGTAGCTCTTACTATGTGTTTAGTAATAAGTAAATTTTTTCAGATACTATAGTGATAGTAAACATAGAAAGCTGGATGACCACAGGAGCAGAGATCACAGGTCAAATCTGGAAGGAAGTTTAAAAGACAGTCGGCCTCATTCAGATCACCGTTCCCATTCAGACCACAGGATACATTCAGATCACCGTTTCACTTCAGAGTACAGCCATCATAAATCTTCCAGAGATTATAGGTACCACTCAGACTGGCAAATGGACCACAGAGCTTCTGGTAGTGGCCCAAGGTCACCATTAGATCAGAGGTCTCCTTATGGTTCAAGATCTCCTATAGGACACAGATCTCCATTTGAACACTCATCAGATCACAAAAGTACACCTGAACACACATGGAGTAGCTGGAAAACATAACAAAGACTGACATTTTCTGGACCTTCTTTTAGCCATATACAGTAAACTAACACAGTAATTGCCTTATGTGACTTGAAAGATATGGACTGGATATTCTGTTGCTAGCAGTATTGTTACTTCTTTCCAGGATGCAAGGTCTATTATCCCAACAATAGAAAAATATTTTTGTATTTAAAATTTATGCTGCACTGTGCTGCAAATGTTGTGGCAGGTGGGGGTTTTTTTCCCCTCTTTAAGAAATGGAAAATGTTTACTTTTACAAGGGACCTCAACACTGCCCCATTCAGACCGGATCTCATAAAACTGTTTTTAGAGTGAACACAGTTTAAATTATGTTTGCAAATGAATTTTTAAACACTGACTGATCATGTTTCAGGGAGAAATGAGGAGTTTGTTTTGTTTTCTTAAAAAAGAATTCTCAAGGACATTTGTTCACTTTTCAAAGCTATTTATTTACATTGTACACTGCAACCACCTTGCTGCTTTTCATCACAAGCTTGAATATTTAAGTTCTGTACCTATAACTGTAAAATAGCCAGGATTTCTCCTGTTTGTGATCAGTTATAATAATGCCTTTTTTCAAAATAAAATAAATGGCTGAAAATTTTTGCAAACCAACTACATGAGATTTTTTTTTTTTGCTTGTTCCTTTCCCCACCTACTCAGTTCTTCTTATCACAGAGTCAGTATACTAACACTTTTTAATAAAATATCTTTATGATATCACTGTTCAGAATGCAAAATGGGGACAGGAACTTTTTTATTCCATTTAGTGCCCCTTTTTTATCGGGTGCTTCAGATACATGTTTTGGATTTGTTTTTCTATTCAACTGTCAATATTGTGATTTGTTGTAATGAAATGTTGGGAAATATTAAGCTAAACTGTGATCTGGAAAGGTTTTTAAGAAGGAGTGTTCAATATATGAACACTTTTGAATCCAAATCAGACCAAATTTATTGGAAATGTATTGTTTTCCCTCATGAAATGGGCAATAATGTCAAATGTGCTATGCAGCCAGTTAATATTTTAGATTTTAATGGCTTTCTATTACTAGAATTATTACAGTACACACTGATTGTACTTCTGTCTGACAAATTAAATTTAAAATTAAATGTGAGCTCATGTTTTCTGCTGGTGTTTTTCTACAGCATACATCTTTCTCATTTAACCATAAAAATATTAAACTCTAAGTACTAAATACACAACATAATTAGGGAAGATAAATGTCTACCCCAGCATCATGTGGTTGGAGCTAATATGTTGCTCCAATTTTAATTCATCTTGTAATGTGTTGAGCATTTTTTTCCAATTAGCCAGGGTTACATGAAAGCATTAAAATTGAACCAAAACCTGTTCAGAGTACTTATCTGTTATGATCTCACTATGATACATTTAAGCTAATTTAATGTAGGTTGCAACTCAGATAATGAATGCTTCTTCATTTCTTAGCTGTCACCTTCCCAGGGTTGGGAGGCTTTTGAACTCTGCTTTTGAGCCTAATTACTGAAGCAATGTTTAGCTAGTGGTGGCTAGTAAGGTCGTGTGTTTGTGCTATGCATCTTTTTCTCGTGGTGAAAATCTAGAAGTTGGAGCATCCACATCCACTGCCTAGATCTTATAGTTTGGATAGTTAGCTGGAATCTTGGATCCATTATAATACATCAGTAGAGCAGTCCCACTAAGTCTGCTTTACTATTGTCATAGTTCTGATTTTAGAAAGGAATTTTGTCTTCCCTTTCCCCTTCTTCCCCCCCCCCCTGCATGAATGCTGTTCAAGAGCCATCAAGTAAACAAAAGAGTCGGCCTGGGTCCTAACGACCGAGAATTAGTCTCCTGGCAACGAAGGGGGAGGAGTTTGGAAGAAGGCGAGGTTGTGGGAGCTCAGCTCGGGAGCAGGAGGGGAGGCTGCAGCAGAGAGGAGAGACTGCCTGGTTTCTCCTTTGTTTTTTTTTTTTCCTGTGGGAGCTCTCTGCAGAGCTGCCGGCTGATTGCAGTCTTGGTTCTTTTTTCACCGCGGGACCTTCACCGAGTCGTGAGTTTTTTCTTCCATTGGGAGAACTTTCTGTTTCCTTTCCCCTTCCCCCTCCTCCCTTGCCACCCGGCGGAGACCAGGGATCCCGCAGCGCCGCCCGGTGACGAGCGCTGGACATTGCAAGCTCCACTCCTCTAGTGATCCAACAGCGCCCCCTGGTGACTACTATAGAACATTACAAGTTCTGCACTTTTGATAACTCAACAGCGCCACCTGGTGAACGGTATAAGACATTGCAAGTTTTTACATCTCCAGTGACGCGACGGCGCCCCCTGCTGACTGTGGCTGGAACTGCACCAAAGAGTGCTAAAAATTGAACTATTTGATTTTCTTTTTTGCCGGTTTCATTGGTTTTGTTCTTGAAGGGGATTATTGGTGGGTATAGGGGTATTGTTTGGTTGTTTTACTTGGTTTTTCTTTTTTTTTTTTCCCTCGTGTTACGTTAATACACACATACTTAATAAAGGGCTGTTATTTTTCTTTTTCCCTTTTCCATAATTTGCTTTCCTTCAATCGGAGCCTCTTAATTTCGAATCTATAATTGCTAGAGAAGAAGGTTTGGGTCTTTTTCTCCTAATCCATCCTCAGCAAAAGACCCTTGTCTCAATTAAACTAAGACAACTATCAGTATAGATAGAACATAGTTGGTGGCTTTGGTTGGAATCTTTGCTAATTAGTATATTTAGGTTGTGTTAACTTTAATCATGTTATAGCTGTTTAAAACTTAACTGAATGCAGAGGGGAATGAAGTTTGATGGTAGAGGTGTTCTTCATTGCTTATGAGACTGACTGTTATGGGATTCTACTTAATAGTAGGATATGCACCATATCCTCTGCAAATAAACCATTTATAATTCATTTTTCTTGCAGATGTGGTGGTATCCAGCCTTGGTTGGATACCAGGTGCCCACCAAAGCTAGTCTATTGCTCCCCCTCCTCAACTGGACAGGGGAGAGAAAATACAAGAAAAGGCTCATGGGTTGAGATAAGGACAGGGAGAGATCAGTCATCAACTGCCATCATAGGCAAAACAGACTCGACTTGGGGAAATTAATTGAATTTATTACCAATCAAATCAGAATAGGATAATGAGTGTAAAGTAAGATATGCAGGTATCCCCAGAAACGCCAAGGTAGTGGAAAGAATTCAAAAGTTTATTTAGAAGGCCAGAACACAGGAAACTTACAAATACCTGACAGTCCTGTTTAAGCACCAGGCCCCAGGGAGAAAAAGACAAACATCCTATTCACTCATCATTGCTGGCCCCCCGACTCTCCCCAGGCCACCATGGCCCTGTAGCATTTCTGCAAGCATTATCTCTCTCCTCACATATCAGAGAGGGAGGCTGAGAACTTCTCTTGTTATGCAGCGGGGGGGGGGAAAGCATTGAAACTGCCTTTGAGAAAGAGTTACCTTTTGGGCAGAAAGCCTTCCTAAGTGAAAACAGTTTCTAGCTTTCCTGTTACAAATTCTTCTGAAAGCACTACTCCTACATGAGAAGTAAAACCAAAACTTAAAAACACCTTCCTCCCATCCCTTCATTCTTCCTGGGCTTAGCTTTATTCCCAGTTCTCTACCTCCTTCTCCTAAGGGATGGGGAATGGGGTTGTGATCAGTTCATCACATTGCCTCTGCTTCTCCTTCCTCCTCAGGGGGAGGACTCCTTACACTCTTCCCCTGCTCCAGCGTGGGGTCCCTCCCATGGGAGACAGTCCTCCACAAACTTCTCCAATGTGAGTTCTTTCCATGGGCTACAGTTCTTCATGAACTGCTCCAATGTGGGAGCAGTCCTTCAGGAACAAATTGCTCCAGCATGAGTGTCCCATGGGGTCACAAGTCCTACCAACAAACCTGCTCCAGTGTGGGTCCCTCTCTCCACGGGTCCACAGTCGTTCCAGGAGCCTGCTCCAATGCAGGCTTCCCATGAGGTCACAGCTTCCTTTGGGCATCCACCTGCTCTCATGTGGGGTTCTCCACAGTCTGCAGTTGCATCTCTGCTCACCTATGGACCTCCATGGGCTTCAGGGCGACAGCCTGCTTCACCATGGTCTTCACCACAGGCTGCAGGGAAACATCTACTCCAGCAGCTGGAGCATCTCCTCCCCCTCCTTCTTCATTGACCTTGGGATCTGAATAATTGTTTCTCTTGCTTATTTTCACTCCTCTCTGGCTGCAATTGCTTCTATGCAATAACTTTTTTTTTTTTTAACTCCTTAAAGTATATTATCACAGAGGCATTACTACCATTGCTGATTGGCAGGTTCATCTTGGAGCTGGCTGGAATTGGCTCTGTTGGACATAGTGGAAGCTTCTAGCAGCTTCTCACAGAAGCCACCCCCTATAGCTATCCTGCTACCAAAACCTTGCCACACAAAACCAATACAGCAGATTTGATCTCTCCTTTGTTCTTTTATAATGGTAAGTCATTGAAGAGTGTGTCCAGTTCTGAAGTATCCATTTGACAAGGAGCCTCTTGTTTCAGATCTTAGTGTTGTTCTCTGCAAGAGGTTTTAGGAAGTAAGAATTCTGGCAGCCCCAGGAGAACTCATGCTGCTGATAGAGATTTAGTGGGTTCCTCTACCATGCATAGAATCATAGAATCATTTAGGTTGGAAAAGACCCTTAAGATCATCAAGTCCAACTTTTAACCTAACACTGCCAAGTCTGACATTAAACCATGTCCCCAAGTGCCACATCTACATGGTTTTTAAATACCTCTAGGGAATGTGACAAACACTTCCCTGGGCAGCCTGTTCCAATGCTTGACCACCCTTTCCATGAAAAATTTTTTCCTAATATCCAATCTAAACCTCTCCTGGTGCAAGTTTAGGCCTTTTCCTCTCATCCTATAACTTGTTACTTGGGAGAAAAGATTGACCCTCACCTCACTGTAACCTCATTTCAGGTAGTTGTAGAGAGCAATAAGGTCTTCCCTGAGCCTCCTTTGCTCCAGGCTAAACAACCCAGCTCCCTCAACTGCTCCTCATAAGACTTGTGCTCTAGACCCTTCAACT